ATTTAGAAACCGGGTCTTTAGGGAGGTGATGGGTTAGGGGAGGTCATAAGGGTGAGGCTCTGGTTCAAAAGGCTTGGGGTCCTTCTATGAGGAGGAGGAGACCCCAGAGATCTTGTTCCCCCAGCAGCATGCAGAGGGAAGACCCCGTGAGGACTTAGTGAGATGAGGCAGGAAGAGATTTCACCGGGACCCACCCTGCGGGCACCCGGCGCTTAGACTCCCAGCCTCCAGAAGCCTGGGGAAAACCTTTCTGCTGTTTCAGCCCCCGTCTGTGGCATCTGCCTGGCAGCCGAGCAGACAAAGACAAGGCAGAGTGTGTCTAAAAATGAGCGGGGCTCACACCAGCCTCTGACAACGGGCACGTGCGGAGGAGGGCAGTCCCCACGTGTTTCCAGACTCGAAGGCCTTGGTAGAAACAGCCCGGCAGAAGGAAAAGAGAATCAAGTCATCGGACCTTCCGGGAATCAGGCCCTGGGGCCGACAGGGAGACAGACGCTGGTTAGGAATCCAGCCCAGAGCAAGTCCACTCCTGTTGAGCTGTGTCGTAGCTCTGGTCAAATTTCGATAAGTGCACCTCTTTCTCAACCTGCATCAAGACCTACACGAGTTTCCCCATCGACTCTGTTTGCCATTCTGCCCCCGGGCTCTCTGCCTGGTGGGAAGCACTCTCCCCTCACCCCATCAGGGCACGGGCACCTTGCCTGGTGTCGGCCACAGGAGGGTTCCCTGGCGGATAAGAGGTGGCTCAGTGCTCACCGCCGCGCCCGAGGGGGATGATGGCGTTGGCTGAGCTAGTTCAGGTCATTCAATAGGGTGAATGTCATATTTTAGACCCTTAGAAAAAAGAATTTGCAGAGGGCCCTTATAAAATCATATCAAACCGTTGCCCTCCAATACCTTGATCAAATCACGGCGGCTCTGGTGGCATGTGTAGTGAGGTCAGGGGCCCAGCCTGGGACTCTGTGGAACACGCACCGGTCGTCACTGGAGAAGTGAGTGGGAAGAATATTCCACTAACCATCACTTGCCCTGTGTTGTCATAGGGGCTCTGTCTCAGGGGAAACCGGAACAGTTCAGGGCGACAGGCGCTTTATTTGTGAAGATGAGCAGTCGACTGCCCTAACTTCTAGAAACTGCTTTTAGATCTAAGTGAAATCCAGGAATGTCTCGGGGGCAGAGAAGAGACTGCGGGGCTCAGGAGGACTCTGCGCCCTCCAGCCCCCCGCCTGCGGGACTCCGGCTTCCCCAGAGACCTGCACAGGCACCCCATCGGGATGGAGCGAGACGGCTCCCTCCTGGTGCCGTCGGGTGCGTCGTGACCGCCCCGCCCGCCCAAATGCAGCAGGGCGGACAGAGCTTGTCATGCGCTCACATCCAAGCCAAGCCAGTCATACAACTTGCTGGGGAAAAAATCACAGTGACATTGTCACGGGATCTGACACTGCAGAGAAGACACCTGCTGTGAGTGCAGGGAGGAGGGTATCCTGTTTCCCCAAGACCTTCTCGAAAGCAACCGGCCAGCATGTGGATGACAGGGGCCGACGTGACATTCAGAGTGTCTGTGTGCTCAAGCAGGCACCCCCCAGAGTCCCGTCGGGCTTATCCCAGTGCCCTTCGCAAGGGACCAGCCCAGCCTCGATCTCGTTTCCTCAGGAGCAGCCGCTCAGGGACTCCTCGTTCAGGGACTCGACGACACGGTGCTTGGCCTTGGTCGGTCTTGTTCACAAACTGCATTTCCAGAATCCACCACACCTCGCACCCCTGCCCCACAGGCCATTTCTTTCTCTTTAAAATTCTAATGTGCCTGCTTTTCCTCTCGTTTCCTTTCCTGACCTCTCCTCACTGTCCCCGCTCTTCCTTCCTGTTTCCACCTGGCTTCCTTCCCTTCATCCCTCCTCCTCCTCCCTCTTGTGAGCGATGCCCAGTGAGAGTCTCTGATCCTATTTCCCCGCGCCTTTGAGGGCCACGAGCGCCCCAGACATCACCGCAGTCGAGGGATACTGTCCTAACGTGGGTCTCGGAACGGGAGGGGGTGGGAGCGTGTGGCCGTCTGTCCGCTTCCTGCGACAGCGTCATCCTTGAGCCGCCGCCGAAATCCCCGGACAAGAAACTCCGGGGCTGCCGCAGGAGAGGGAGAGCCAGGCAAAGGCCTTGTTAAGATCTGTCAGACATAAAGGGAAAAGGGCCCCCCCCCGAAAAGGGCACCCCGGAAAAGGGCCGTCAGTGCTCGGAGACAGGAGGTGCCGGGTGCGGCCGCCTGGAGGGGTCAGTGGCTACCGCCGACCTGCCAGGGCTCTGGAAAATCCCACCCCAAGCACTGGAAGGTTCGATACCAGACTGAAGAAAAGGATTGTTTTTTATTTAAACTGAATGGCCATGTCAGCTACTAGTTGCATTCGTAATAATATTCTCAAAACAGAATCTCTACTTAATTAAGTAATTAATTTTTTTCTTTATTGATTTTAGAGAGAGAGGGAGAGAGAGAAACATCGATGAGAGAGAACATCGACTGGCCGCCTCCTGCACGCCCCCCAATGGGGGTTCAGGCCCACAACCTGGGCATGTGCCCTGACTGGGAATCGAACTGGAGATCTGTTGGTTCAGGGGTCGACGCTCAACCACTGGGCCCCACCGGCTGGGGCACTTACACTTTTTCCATGAAACATTTTTACAAGATTAATCTTTCCTCTGAAGGGGGTGGTTCACTAATCTGAAGAGTGGGGCTTCCCTAAAGTTCTTAAAGACGTGTTTGCTTTTGTGTTTGTTTCCGTATCCCCTCTGGAGGTAGTCTCGTACGAACTTTGGAACGTCAGAGGAGGGACTTCGGGGTTTTAATTCTGCTCCCTCCTTTCTGAGATGCAGGGGACTCAGCAGAGGGTGAGGACTGGGAACCTGGTCTGTGGTTCCCAGCCCAGGGTTCCTCCCGCCACGACAGGCTTTTCTGAACACAGACTTGTTGGCTACGAACGAGGGGAAAAGAACCCGGGAAAGGGGGTTTATAAAGATTTCAAATCATCACCCCACACTTCTGCTAGCTAACACAGAGTTATCCCCTCCTACAAAATACCCACCATCCCAAAAATTCAAGAGCCGCTAAACCAGTAATTGCTTTATAAAGTCAAGTATCACTGACTTCCTCAAACAGTTTTCTGGGTGCACTACATGCATTTTCAGATACAATAATTGGATTTATTCAGAACCTTCTAGACATCATCGATATGAAAGTCAGACTCATCCGTGCTCTCTTCTGCTGTAGCAAAGCGATCTGTGTGTCACTCTTCAGTTTAAACATCGTGCTTAGAGAATCTGCCAACGAGTGTCCAGCTGGGAGGAGCCGCGCAGGAAGCTGTGCGGCCTCGATGGTTGGATACCTGAGCTCTGGCAACATACTAAAATGAGGTGTCGTCTGAATGCTCCCCCTCTGCCTCTGCTTTTCTTCTCTTACCCGCTGCAAAAAATTCCCGCAGAACAGAGTATTCGGAGAAAGAGCGGAGAGCATGACCCCGTCTCCTTCCTTACAGAGGTGCACCGTGGGAGTGTCCTCGGACGCTGTCTGCCGGTCTCCATGCAAACTTCTGTTTGGACTTAGTGTAGATACAGAGAACCAGGGTATTTTTAGAAATTCTAATACTGGAATCTGTTTCACTCCATCAGTGAGCCAAGGTCAAAACCCCTTTCAAAAAAAAAAAAAAAATTCTGAAAGCTGGGTCTTATATAACTACTTACCAAAACCTTTTAACTTGAGTCGTTTCAACTGAGTACACAGCATGAGGTTTCTAGACATAACGTTCTGTTGACAGACCTTCCAGGGTTCCGATAGAGTGACCGGTGCCTCCAACATCCCGTTCCCTCCTCTTTATCCTGCAGATGGCCTGGGGGGCGTCTGGACGGTCCTGGACAGTGTATAGACATTTTCACTGTACCTTGTAGCTTTTTGCAGACTCAGCCTTGCTAATTCTCTACATAATTGTTTATCTTTCCCTCCAGCCCTTCTTTGTAGCTGGCACCACAAAAATCTCGATTATTACAATGGAATGCAGTGAGACGTTTATGGTCCAGATAAAATGACCTGCAAGTATCTCCGGCAATGTATTGTCTTTGCCCATGTTGCTTTGCTTTGGACCAAAATTATTACATCTCGGGGGACAAATAAATTGTGTGTGTGTGTGTGTGTGTGTCTGTGTGTGTGTGTTTTCTGGCAGGCTTCATGTTTTAGTATTTGGCCCAGTGAATTCTTTTGGCTTACTCGTATCATCTGAGAAACTAATTGTCAACACATAGTTTAGATGACTTTTAAGCAGATAACTTGTAACAGCTGTCTTAACATTCCTTGCATTGCCGTAGGGGCTCATTCAAAACTTAGAATGGATTTTTTTTCTAAAATTAGCTAAAAAATTAATGTATTTTAAAAACATATCAAAACTAAAAGCGAGTGACCGGACCCTGCGGGATACCGCACCCAGGGCAGAGCCTGCGTGCTCCCACGCGCGGGAAACTCAGTGGCGTCAATGTGCTGAGCAGACCGTCTTAGAAGATGGCGTGTTCTGTATTGATTCATTTGGTTATAAATTCAAGAGCATCATGTGCTAAAATGTTTGCAATCATTAAATATATAGAGATAAATGAAGATGAAATGTAACAGCAACTGCTATCCCTGTGAAACTTTCTTTGGTAGGTTCACACATTTTCGTCGCAAAGGCGGTCTGACATCTGCTTAGAGAAACAGTAAAAGGGCAGGGAGGCGGGGAGTGTCCCATAATATCCAGTTCTACTTACAGTGTCAGAGGATAATGGACTGAACTTAGCAGTTTATAATACAATTTTCATTTTATTTTAAACGTATTTTGCATGATATAAAAATATTGATCACAGTGAGCTTTACCAATTGTTATTGCTATAAAAATGAATGCAGAAACAACATTTTTTAGTGGAAATAAATTATATAGTCATTATTATTATTTTTTTTTAAATCACAACAGAAAAACCTCAGCTGTTCGGTCCTTGGCAGACAATCAGTGTTTACAAGACATCTCTTACAGATGCGCTCCGGTCTGCTTCTGGGACATTATCCACGTGGTTCAGGAAACACCGACTTCTGCCTCTGTTACCGTGGTCCCACAAAGGTCCCCCTGTTCCACAGACAGTTTCAAAGGGGCAGCACAGTTTTCCAGTGGAGCAGTCCCGTCTCAGTTCGCGTGTGGTCTTTTCCAGTACTCGGGGACACAGCGACACACTTCTTCACTGAACGCGAGTCCTTTCTCACAGTGCTTCAGCCGATTCGTACACGGCCGTCTGTAACAACTGGGAAGACAGAGGGACACACTTTCCTTAGAGACCAAGGCGAGGAATCCATTAGGCTACAAACACACTTTCTTGTTTATCTAAAATTTAAACTAGAACAAAGTGACTCATGTTGTCATAAAATTGGCCTTGGGTTTACAGATGTGTCAGTTGTTCAAGTTAGTGCTTCCCATCACAAAGTTCAAGAGGAATGGAAAATACCCCAAAAGCATCTCGGCTGCTGTTCTCATTCGGGAGAATGAGACGCAGTCCCAGCTTATGCTCCTGTCTGCCGGGCATCACGGTGGCTCACTCTGCCTTGTCCGCGTGCAAAGGGAGGGACAGTGTCACCAGGGGGGCCCCTCTTCCTCCCCTGGACTTCCAGTTTCTGTAGTGGTGGAACAATGAATGATCAAGCAACTCATCACATCCAAAGCCCTGTTGCTCTGATGAATGGAGCTACCTTTGAAGATGCAGTTTTTGTTTTTCGGAGCATGAGTTTGCTTCACATGTGGGCATGAAATCGGTGTGCAGGGAAACATGTAAATGACCTAATGTGGAAATCCATGGTGTACTATGGAAAAATTGTGTGATTTTATAATTTCATTTCTTATGCTTTGGAAAAGCGAGCACATCTAGTAAAATGTTATTTTTTAACTTCTAAATACAAATGCAATAGTATGAGACCACTGTAAAAAGATACAGTTCTCAGTGAGCAATGGCTGTTGCTCAGTAAGGCGGTGGACCAAAGAACATACACTCTGCCCACCACAGTTTTGTAATAAATATTAAGAGAAAATGAATATAAATATTTACAGAATATAAATTATTATTTTTTGTTTCAATATGTACATGAAACCTGGAATTATACTTAGAAAAATGAACATAAGGAAAGTGTCGGTAAAGAGAAGATCTTTTTGAAACAATGTATACTCTGAGGAGAAACACAATGATAGAAATCTTTTCTACTAAGTTAATATAAGAATTCTGGAGAAAAATATGATTGCTGGTTAGACTACATAAGCATAAAATGTCAGGTTTTTCAATATATACTAATAAGTTTCACTCAGAAGATTCAATATACAAAATGGTCTACTAAGATTTGATATCCATGTTCTGTACTTTTTAAATATCCTGGTCATAGGTACATGCAAGTGAAATTGCAATACAGTTACCACTTAAAATATTCTAAAGACAAAAAGATTTCCTAGAAGGCCTTCCGAAACAACAATGAAAAAGTATGTCAACAAAGTATATGTAGTCAATGAAATCGTCTTATACAGCAGCAAAGCGCCCGCGCAGATGGGCCTTCAGAAATAAAATAAAAACGAGAGCACGAAACTTTCGAGAACCCGATTTGTGAAGGGACGGAGTGAGGATGAACATCGACGCAGATGCGAAACTGTAAATAAACGACACGTAAGTGTGGAGCCGTGCGAACAGCCATCCCGGGAAAGGGGTCGTCTCCGTGCCGAAGCCGTGGGTGGCAGGAGGGAAGTCAGTGAAGGAGAGGAAGGACAGACGTCTGGAAACGCAGACACCAGGACAGGACAGGTTATTTCCGCCAAGAAAAGGGGGGCTGAAAGGAAGGCCACAGAAAGGACAGCTCACACGAAGACCCAACTGTCCACGGCATTTGGCAATTACAGTACCGTAAACAGAATTTACCGCGGAGTGCTAGGGCATAAGCCCTCTCCCATGCCAGCTGGTTGAAAAGTCTGGGGCGAAAGGTGACGGTGTGTTTACCAGAGGGGCAGAGGGAGGGGGTCAAATGTATGATGACGGCAAGAAACGAGACAATGGGTGATGAGCACACAACCACAGAGCAATGCACAGATGATATATTATAATATTGTCCCTTGAAACGTACCTACCCTTATTGACCAATGTCACACCAGTACATCTAAGAAGACAAACTTTATTTGTTGTTGTTTTTTTTTATCCTCACCTGAGGACATTTTTTGATATTTTGTTCAGATAGAGTGGAAGGGAGAGAGAGAGACAGAGAGAGAAACGTCGATGGGGGCCGGGGACAAAATGCAACCGAGGTATGTGCCCTTAGCAGGAACCGAACCTGGGTCTCTCCAGACCGCAGGCCAACGCTTAACCGCTGAGCCAAACAGGCCAGGGCCAGACAAACTTTACTAAAGGAAAGAGGTGAACACAAATGCCGAAGACCTAGCCCCGGAGCATCTTTGGAAAGAAGGTCAGGTCCTGGTTGCTCAAGTGTGCACCGCACCCCAGGGGCACGCTGAGCAGACAGAAGGCATCGGAGCTTCTACAGACAGGGGAGAGGACAGGAGCGTTAAGGTGTAAAGGTCAGGAGGAGACGGGTGTGGCTGGCGGGGCCGTGCCGACGGCACGCGGGAGGAAGTGCCCATGGTCGAAGCTGGCTTCGGCTTCCAGCACCTTCTTCTCGGTGACACAGGAGGACGGGTCTGAGTCCAGAAGCCTCGTTTTTCTCTTGGTGAAGGAGGGAGCAGGCTCGAGGGATAAAGAATGAGGCGCGAGACACCTCTAACGGCATGTTGACATATTTCTCTAATTACGTTACGGGCTTGGCTTAAATATTTTTTAATGTCTAGAAACAGTTCCACAGCAAATGGCGCAGTGGGATCTTTGTAAAGTCTGGACAGACAGTCTGCACGGAGCTGTCCTAAATCACAGCGGATGGAATCACCTTTCACGGGCGGCAGGTGTGCACTGCCCACAGGTGACTGTCCTGTGCCCCTGTCCCCCGGCTCGTGTCCAGAGCCGCTACCTCGGCCTCTGGGACCAGGACTCAGGGTGTATTCTGAGCTCGGATCTGGTTCCCATTTCCAGGCTCCTTTCTCGCCTTTTGGGAGCAAACACAGTCTCCTGCAAGTCTGGCATTGGTTGAAATAAACAGCAGAAATATTCTTCCAGAATTGCCCCGTTTCACGCTAATAACCAGCAGCTGCTGTTTGGGTGGGAAACCCCCTTCAGTGAGAACACTCTTTCCCGGGAGAGCAATGAATGCGATCTATGACGATGGCTTACCTGCACGTTTGATGCTGGAACTTCTTTCCTTTTAAGAAGCATTTCTGGGGGTTTTCTGTACATTCACAGGCACATCTCGCCGGGTTGAGGGGCTGATGCCTCGGGCAGGTCCTTCTGCACACGCACTGGCACGTGTTGTCATCAAATTCCCGGTGGGGCCCACACGCGTTGGGGAAAAGTTTGTTTTTACAGACACACTGGCACGAGTCCCGGTCCAGCTCCTGGTGGGGTCCACAGCTGGAAGGCCGAAGGCCCCCTCTGCAGACACACTGACAGGTCTCTTCGTCCAGCTCCTTGTTGGGTCCACAGACGTCATGGAATCCGCCGGCCGCGTCTAGACGACACAGGCAGGACATCGTTACTCTACCTACCGGGGCTGGGTGCGGCGTGCAGTGACTAAGGCTCTGGACGGCACCTTCCCCCTGTTTCCAGTACAGAGCTGTGTGCAAACAGGGTACCCCCCCTCACAAAGGAGCTCAACGCTATGCCATCAGGGGCCACAAGTCCGAGTGTGGAGTGGCCCCGTTCAGGGTCTGCCCGTCTGAACACTATGCGTGGGACTCACATTCGAGTGTGTGCTGATCACAGTAGGGCCCAAGCTGTTCATCTTAAAGAAACACCCCTCTGCTTACCGTCTCCAGCACTGGAGGCAAACGTAAAATCCTGCTGAGCGAGACATCTGCAGGCTTGGCTGCTCCAAGTGTGATTGGCGGGGCAGCTCTTGTTGGTGGCCGGGCACCTTGGGAGACACAGATGAGTGACGAGTGAGTATAACTGGCACGTCGCAGGGGTGAGCTCTTAGCTATGCACCACAACATCAATGCATGCTTCTGAGAAAACTCTGACACGAGGTGAAAATTCCCTCTGAGCTACCTCCCCCCACACGTGCTGTTCAATTCTAATCCCAGAGGTGACCATGGTGAGTAGCATGGTCTTGCATTATTCTGGGCTTCTGCCCGAGTACGGCAAACACACTGACTTGTGCAATCACACAGTGCTCTTATTTGTGGGACAGGCCTTTTACTCTGAAATGGCACTTTCCACTACACAGTACAGTATGGCACCTGTGTAGGTCCTCCTTCAAGTTCTGCCCCGTCGTCTGTAGTGGTCACACACGAGTCCATACGATGGGTGTATTCTTACTTATTTTGTCAGTCTCCTGTCGGTAGCTATGGACGCTGCGTCCAACTTGGCTTTTTCAAACAATTACATGGGAAATATTCTTATACATGTAACTTTACCAACTGTTTTTCAGAAGCACAGGTGCCTATAATTGTCCAGGATCCGTTAATGCAAAATTCTTACTCTACACTCCACCGGAATGGTGTCAAAGACCATGGGAGTTGTTACTCTAGTCCTTCCTTCCCACCTTTTCTCCCTCCCTCCCTTCCATCTGCCTTGTTTGTTTTAGTAAAAATTAAACAGCATGCAGTACTTTTCCTTGGTCTTTGGTCTATGACTTCCATGGTTCTTGTTGCAAATAAAGGAAAGTAAGTCTGTATACATTTTATCTCTTTCTGATACACAGTCCATATGATCCCTGATATACTGCTGTAAACCTCGATTTTTTCACTTGACAATATTTCCCGGACAACATTAGACCTTCATAATAATTTTAGGTATTCCCAAGAGCAAGTCTCTACTCGTTAGGTATTTTTGTCATGATGTTGTAAGTTAAATTGTGAGCATACACTGACCCACATAAGATTGAGACAGTATTTATACATTTTCCAAAACAATATTGTTTTTTTTAATTTACCTCCTTATCCAAACCTTGAGCGCTCCTCCATCGAATAAGATAGAAGTTATATTTAGTGATATAACAGCAATGCAATTCATCCTGGCTGAATAGAACTCCCGTCGCTCTTCTGTAGACAGAAGGAGACGACTGGCCACGCGTGGCCATGATTTCAGAGCCACACCCACGCCGTCCTTCATCTGGCCACGGTGTGACTGAAGCTGCCATTCCCCACGCCCCACGCCATCCCTGCTGTTAGCTGTCGCCCAGCAGTGGGTCATCAGATCAATTATACGAGCTGGGAAATGCATTTTATAAACGCCAAAGGATGGTATATAATAAAATACAAATTATTAGAGTGCACGCAATATTGTTTTCTACTTTTTTCCAATTACATATATGCATATGAATATTTTAATATAAGGAATATACATATACAAATGTATATGTGTATATATGAATATACAATGATTCACACGCAACCTTCCTTCTCCCGTGTGTGTGTGTGTGTTTGTGTGTTAGTGGTTGCAATGTCAAATGCACTTATTTTTAGTCATAGTCCGAAAAGTGACAAAATACCTATCTAAGCTATTTGCATGCCAAAAAGAGGTGTCAAGAATGGTCTGAATCACTAGCCAAGTGAGACTGGTGAACAGCGAGATTTCCAGGTGCAGGGGTAAGTGTTAATGTGTCTGTGCTTGAGTGTTAAATGTATACACAACTGTTCATCCAAAGTAGGCATAAAAACAAAACAACTTCTCAGTGTGTAGTGAGGAAAAAATAGAGTTTTCTCTCTAATATTCGACACCTTCAAAGATGTAAATACAGAAGTATGGCATGTGTGCTGAACAAGTGTAGGAATAACTGTGGGAAGCTATTTCTGAAAATGTCACACAAAGCAAGGCAGCAGTTTTATAGAATTAAGTAATTATCTCATATAATCTGGCTGTAGTAAGTTTATAGCTTTTGCACATTCACGTTGAATAAAAATATAGCCTCCAGAATAACATTCAATTATGTTACAGCTAAAACACTGTGCCCACTTAAACTTTATCTTGCTAATTATGGTTTGCTCAAAGTAAACTAAATATTTTCATTTCTAACATTCTTAAAACTTAACTGAATTTCTAGAAAAATATGACTTCCGAAGCTGCCAAAAATAAGAAACTCTTCCCCACCGATGTTAACACATGTTTCAAAGTTGAAAATTGAAATCCTTTTACCATTTAACCAAAGAAACATGTATTTGGAAGAGATGCATTTTCATAATTACCTAGTGAGTGAAGCTCCCTGCTCTAAAAGTGAGTAGCAAGTTTTTAGCATTTAAAGCTTCTCAAGTGAAAAAAAAAAAAAAAGGGAGACACAGTTTCCAAAATATTGTCATTGTGGAACGAAAGGAAATGTCTTCATGGTGGAGAGAAGATTTAGCACAATCTTATCTCACTTTCTCAAAGTCCAGAGCTTTGTCATCTACTGTAGTGGCGAGTTCCGAATATGAACGTGTAAACATAGTAAAAATGTTTGTAAATTACTCATTTTGTAGAATGTATTTATAAAACATTGACTTGACACATTTGTCCACAAGGCCAAGCAGCCTGTGCCATTATGGGTAAGTAGATTCATGTTGAGAATCATATATAAGTAAATTGAATGCCCTGCTTTCTTTTCCCACCCATAAACCCACAAACACAACCACAGTCCTGTTTATATTTGTACGAAGGACAGAAATGCTTTTCTTAGAATCATTTCATTAATTATTTCAGGAATTCACTAGACTGATTTGCTAGTTATCGCTTTTTGTTACTTAAAATCGGAGGACAAAAATGCTAGGAAATACATATGTGTTAGAGTACAATGGGTTTAAGGATAACAGTCAATCTTATTTTGCCTTTTATCTCCTCTTTGGAATTTTAAAAGATTGACATGCTCCTAATACGTTTCGTTAGAATAAACTGTACACACTAGGTTATGATCACTAACTCTGGCACTTGGAACTCTGAGGTGGGCTTTGTGTGAATACTAATTGTTTTACTGTTCCATTTTCTGCACTTCTGGGCACTGGAGTTGTTATGTCCCTGGAATTCCCTGACGCCCCAAATCCATATTTAAGGAACAAAGACATGTTGACACCTTGTTTGACATCAATTAAAACTGAGCTAAAATGTTACCTTTCACCAAGAACCATAATCTTTGTCAGGTATTTCTAATTGGGAAGAAGTTAACTGCATCTTGATTTACAGTAAACTACTATTGATCTGCTGTACTAAAGATCTCATAGATCGTTCCAAACTAATGCTAACATTAATTGAATGCAAATTCAACTTGTAGCACTCCATGGCTTCTTTAAAAAGCAAATCCATTATTTGGAGACAAACTGTGCCATTGATCAATTACTCTCATTGATAGCTCTTTTAATAAGGTCTCTTTCAACAACCCAACAGATGAAGATTCTGCTGACCATGTAGCAACTACGGTCCATAAATAGCTACTCTACTCTAAGTCTTGTTAAATGTGCAATGGGATCCAGTAACATGCGTGTGAAAACATACAGCAAGCTGTCTCCACTCTCCAGGGCATCTTTGTAGCCTTCAACAGGGCATCCGGTGAGCGGCTCTGTATTTCATCAAGAAAATCAATGGCTCGCTTCTTTAACTGATCATCCTTGTTTTCAAATCCATCCACGTTGTACATAGCAATAGTTCATTCCTTTTGATGGCCAACAGTATCCTGTTCACAAGTATCCCGCAGTTTGCTTACCCAGCCAACTGCTGACGGACCTTTGAGCTGTTCCCAGTTGCTGGCGTCATGAAAGGCAGCTCGGAACATTCATGCACGTGCCTTTGTATGAACAGATACACCCTTTACTTCGGGTAAGCACCTAGGAGAGTAATTCCTGGGTAACTCTGTGTTTAACTGTTCAAGAAACTGGATTTGAAAATAAGGATGAGAGTTGAAGAAGCCAGTCCAAAAAAAAGAGAGAGAAGATACTGTATGATTCCATTTACAGAAAACTCTAGAAAATGCCAACTGATCCACTGTTGCAGAAAGCAGACTAGTGGTTGCTGGGGGCAGGGAGGGATGACGGAGGGCAGAAGGGGTGGGGGAGGGTTGCAATCAGGATAAGGAAACATTTGTGGATGATGGATGTGCCCACTCTCTTAATAGTGGTGATGGCTTCATGGATGTCTACATATGCCAACACACTTCAAATTGCATACTTCAAACATATGCAGTTTATGTGCCAGTTATACCTCAACAAATCTGCTTTTTAGCCTGAAAAAAGAAAAGAAAACCATTGAGGGGAACTCTGACCACATCAATGATTTCTGATAAATGTCAAAATAGGATTTTGAGTTCCTAAGCGCCAATGGTCCCTGTCGTCTGAACCGCCGCATTCAGCATCACTCAGGCCTGTAATTATCTTACGGGAGGATATTGCTCCAGACCCTTTTGTCTCAAGAGTGTTGTCAGAAGAACAACGGGAAGGGCAACGATATTCTTTCATTATTCGAGCCACAGAGCCGTGGGACTATGTCTCCACAGTGTTATTCCGAAAGTTTTCAAATTGTGCTCTTACTGCATTCATCATGTGTGGCCCTCGGAGACACTTGGCTATCCTCACAGGTGTTGATTTACTTCTATTTTTGCAAGAGTGGTTAATATGGAATGGAAAGCGGCTAAGCACACGTGACCTTTATATTCAATGCTACTAAGTAATACCTTCAATACTACACACAGATAGAAGCATTGCACTCATTGTAAGGTTCTAGATAAACTGTCTAAAATAGAAGGAACACTGAATAGGTAGATCTCAATTAAACATATATATAGTTATCTTCCCTTGTACTGATTTCTATTGATTTCACATTCACCTGTGCTTTCTGTCTGTTGACGTCACTGTTGGCTTACGAGCCATTAATCTCTGGACTGGAAGAACAGTAGGCGAGTTGGGGTTTGATAGGATATAAAAGTAACAGGTGGATATCAGGGCTGATAAGTTA